CTTCTCACCCTCCGTGGGTGGTCTCTTTCATCCTTCCTCTGAGCTCGGGTCCTCTACCAGAGGCCTGGGAGCTTCATCTCACCTTTTTTGCCATTCTTTCATCAGTTTTTAACAATACTCTCTCAAATGTACTTGTTTTAATTGTAACACTAAAAGGACTTTGAATTGCCCTCTTTTTTTATCTGCCCTGTCAATTTTCTTCAAATATTCTTGATTTTTTTTATTGGTAGTTGGCAAAAAAAAAAAAACGTTAAGTGTGCATTACCGCCACCTAGTGGCATGTGGCTCAAAATGTCTTTTATTTCATACATGTATTATCGATTATCATAATTTGTTAATTTAGTTTTTCTAAAAAAATATTTCATTATTTTACTTTCTGAATATCATTGTAGGATATTTATTACAATTAATGTTTCTTTACTTTTTCCAAACCCGATATAAATATATATAAATCATATTAACTGCAAAACTATTCCCAACTGTAGATGTTATTTATTTACTGGTTCTTTGAATTGTCTAATTTTTGTTCTTACTTTGTCAATATAAGTCTGCTGTGATCTGGTGAAAAAAAGTGACTAAAATACAGATAATACAATCTTTCAGAAATAATTCACTCCATAGGTTTTTGAGTCTGAAGGATTCCTACATGGTTTAATATTATGACAGATTTTCCTGGATATTGTTATTTTACCTTTGTCCCAGATCAATTTCTATATTGTCAAAATTGTTGGTTGTAATAAAAATGATCATTTTCTTGGGACAATTAACATTAAAAGCTCCTTATTTCAAACAATGTAACATGTATTTACCATTTAGAGGGTTTTTCTCTTATATTGGGTTGTCGAGGGTTTTCCTTATGTCACTAGGAAATTCATATTAGAAATATGACTTTAACCACCATTTGAGCTTTTTATTATTGTGATAATTTCATATTTTGTGAATTTGATTTTAAATTCCCGACTGTCATTTTCCCAATCATAAACCCAAAACCTGATACTTTAGCTTCCCTCCCTCTGCTGAACAAACTGTTTTATTTTCTTAAAAATTGCTTAGATGGTTTATTCTTTATTCTCCATTCCAGTGTGTTTTAATACAGTAGCTACGTCCACAAATCCTTCAGTAAATTCAATGCAACAAACATGAGATTTCTCTCTTTGCTCAGCATAAATGACTACAACACTTTGAAAAGTACAATCGATGTTAATCAATATTTCTTCAAAATAAAAAAAAATAAAAAACTGATAATGGATCAGTATTATCAGTTTCCATAATACTGATCCATAACATAACTCGGCAGCAATGATGAAGACTAAATAAATAAAAAATAAAATACACAGTTGAACCAACTGGACCTCAGATCACTGCTGAATGTTTAGATTAACTCAACAGAGAATAAAACGACGCTGTGGAGGAGAGTCACTTTCATAGAGACGCTGTAGAAACACAGAATACCTGCTCTGTGGTCCAGGTACACTCCTATTCTGGAGGAAACTGGACCTGATACTGGAGTTTCAATGTGTCGTGATGAAACTTAACTGTGTAGCAACATAACGACCTGTAACTTAATCCAAATAAACATTCATTGATGATGTTCTGGTAGGAAACTACGATCATGTCACCTTCCAGAAACAACATCCAGTCAGACTCCATTATAACCAGAGTTCAGACTCCTCTTCTTTTATTATCGTTTTTCTATTCCCCTCAGATAATAACAGATCTCTGTTTTCTATGTTTGGGTCCAGAGTGATTTCCTGTGAATATTTTAAGAGCTCTGCTCTTGTCTTTGGTTCTTCAGTGACTCTCAGTAAGATGTTTGTCCATGCGTCTCTCAGGACGTCCTGTAGTTTGTCTCTGAGCTCTGACACAGCTGCTGTCACGTCCTCAAAGTGTCTCAGAGGACGGATGTTGATGCTGGATGAGTGTGTCGACTCACTGAGTGCTGGCAGTGAGGGGTAGTTGAGGAGAAACTGGTTGTGATCCTCTGTGATTGAGAGCTGCTCCAGCTCAGCGTCTTTCCTCTTCAGCTCAGTGATCTCCTGCTCCAGCTTCTCCTGAACATCTTTGACTCGACTCACTTTAGTTTCCTGCTGGGATCTGATCTGCTGCTTCACCTCAGAGCTTCTTTCCTGGAGGAGATGGATCAGCTCAGTGAAGATCTCCTCACTGTCCTCCACTGCTTTATCAGCAGAGACATTGATGGCCTCCACCTCCTGTTGAAGCAGCTTCACATCTTTCTCTTGGTCCTGGATTCTCTGATGGATTTGTTGTCGCTTCTTGGAGGGATTCACCAGCTTGTGAACCTTTAATGTAGCAGCATCACAGTGAGGTTGAAGATGTTTCACACAGTAATTCATCAAACAAACTAAACAGGACTTGAAAGCTTTCAGTTTCCTCCCAGTGCAGACGTCACAGCCCACCTCTTCATGTCCAGCATAACAGTGATCAGCAGCAGGTTGGATTTCAATCTTGAGTCCAGATGAAGGAATGTGAACATCTGTATCTATGTTGCTGCTTCCATCAGGACGTGGACTGTTGGACATGAGTGTTCTTAGTAAAGACATCCCTTCATCAATGGAGTCTAACATCTTGTCCATCTGCACTGAAAGGTTGTCCAGTTTAGCTTTGTTGTACTTCTCAGATTCCTCAATCAACTCCAACATGCGTCTTTTAATCTGAAGGTCTTCCTGGACGGCCGGATCAGAGTGGACCTTCCTCTTCAGCCGGTCTCTCCGGTGCCCAGTGAGCTTCGCCTTTAAATGAGAAACAAAATGTCACCCGACACATCCACAACTGTCACTCAAATCTAACACTGTATGCATGGGCGGATCCACATGGGGGGCAAAAAGGGTACAGGGCCCTCCAAAATTTTATGTCCTTGAAATAATACTTTAACTAGTTGCTTGTTTGAACAAATTCATTGACATTTTACCAAATTAAAGCCCAATTACGTTTGGAATGAGTGAAATGGCTGCTGAAGATGATGGACAATTGTGTACAATATGTAAAGAAACATGAACTTTTAGAACGTTTTTATAAATTAGCTTGATTTGTTTATTTATTTTTTGTAGCAATGTTATTCATTGTAGATCCAAAACTTAAAAGGATTTTGCCCATTGGTTTCAAATTCTTTTATGTTCAGTCAAACAAATTAATTTATAAATAAATATAAATTTATTATTTCATAAGCTAAATAAAAGTTGATTTGGGGGCAGCAAAGTCGGCTTCTCAGTAAAGTTCGGCTGTAAAAATACAAACATTTTGTGTTGTAATTAACATTTTCTATTAATGTTAGTTACAACACTGTCCAGCACGTTGCAACAAGCTAAAGGCAAAATATGCCTTTGCTTGTTGCAAAAAACCTATTTTCTATTATGTCAGTAATAATTTCCACCTGATTAAACATAAAAAAGTTTAATGAACAAATCAAACTCTTGAGCTGCAGTTGGGGGAACAAAAAATAAAATCAGTCTAAGTGCCACAAATGGCCCGCGGGCCGCACTTTAGACACCCCTGATGGGATTGCAACTCCTCTGCTCCCATTTAAAATGTTCTATTCCCGCCACTTCTCTGCAGAAAATGTCAGCACTTACTTGGAGGATGTTTCGCCTTGTACTGACATCGGAACCAAGGTTTTCATTGCTCAGAGAGCCTCCATGCCCCACGGACTCGAACAGAGGGGTCGCACGTGGAGTCATGGCAGCCGATAAGCTCCTCAAACTGCACTTCACATCTCCGGTCTCTAACCCAGATTCTAGGGCGTCAGTGTCCGGAGATCCATCCCAGATCTGTTTGCAAAGCTCAAAATAAAGCAGCACCACACGGCCATGCCCGTTACGCCGGCCGGAGTCCACAGCCTGCCGGAATTTCCCGCGAATAGCTTTGAGCTTGGAGGTCAGCTGGACTCTGGAGGTGGCCTCGGTGCTGTGGGGGAACTCGACCCTTTTGCCGGCTGGGTATCTCCGCACGAAGGCTTCATGGATATCTGCATACTTTGTCTGGCAGGACTCCCAATCAATGTCCTCCTGGTGCTTTGAAGACTTATACTCCAAAGTAACACGAAGTAAAAGTTCCACCTCTTCATCAGTCCAAACAAAACTCGAACGTGCAGCCGCCATCTCTGTTGTCTTCGGTTCTTCTTCATGTCTTTTTATGGCGGTTCGCGATTGGCAAACAATTTAAGGTGCATTACCGCCATCTACCGGTACAGAGTGTTATTCATGATTATACAAATAATCCCATATTTCTGTTTTTTAAAGTAGTTTGTCGATCTGGTGTGATATATTCTATTCTTAATTTTTTTTTCGTTAACTGTTAGAATAAAATTGTATTTCTTCTTTCAACTATCATTTTCCCTTCTGCATTTTAAATTTCCTAAAACTATCTTTCTTTTCTTTCTTCATTCCCCCATTTTTTGCCATTCTTTCATTAGTCAACACGGAATCACAATCATGATGACATATATCAATAACTTAATTTTAAGAATTGAAAGTCCTCTTGTACTTGATTTCTGTTTATTTTCTCATACGATTACGTTGGGTTGTTTTTTTTTTTGTTTGTTTTGTAGACTTCACATTTTTTGTCGTTTTATTGTTGTATTGTGTGACTGAATCTTAGTAAAAATGTTTACAAAAGAAATTATCTTCCTCCTCCAGTCCAGTAGGTGGCGGTAGCGTCGGTGTACCATCCGCCATAAAAATGCCAGAAGAAGAAGCTGAGCAGAAGTTTTCCTTTGGATGAAGTTATAAACAGTGCTACTGTTGCGTGCTTGCTGGTAAGAAAAGTATTTCAGATGCATTTCTTTCTGCTATTAATGCGCCAAGTTGTTAAATTTTACTTGCATTTAGTCAGGAAAGAAAGACGAACGTCTGACGTAAACAGTTTTAAATTAGGCGCCTTATCAAATAACTCGGCGTGGTTTCTCCAGTTGAACCGGAGCCCTGCATTCATTAGTAGCAGATATAAATCTCTATATTTCCAATCAATGATTGCGTGTTTCTTCACCAAACAAACCGCATATCTTCCAGATGCCATTATTTTTTACTTTGCTCCCAGGACGCTTCATGTTTCTGACGTCATAGCCATTGTTTGGGGCCCTAAGCAGAGTTTAATGTGGGACGTCACTATATCTTCCTTTTATGATATCCGTCCAAACTTTTTATTCTCAGCATTAATATAACCTCTTATTGAACTTTAACCAATCAAATAAAGGTTTCACAAATCACAAACTTGATTTTACATACCCGGCTCTTGGTGTATAATAATATAATTCAGGTTTAAAGAGTTTAAGTGTTGAATTCTTTCATCCAGAGCAGCAAGGTAGGGAAAAAAATTAGAAGCCAATTTCAGCTTCATAAGAAATAGTTGGCATCCAGTTTTGTTACCCCCCCAGCCAGCATGCCTAGGTGGGCCCCATGTGGGGACAAGGAGGGCAGACTATATGGGTCCCATATGGGTTTGTCCGCGGGTTCCACGATGGCCCCACATGGGTTTGCCCATGTAGGGCCAGAGCCCACATGGGCCCTGCATGGGCCCTATATGGTGGTGGCCCACATGGGTTTTGTCCAATTAGGGCCCATGTAGCCCCCATGTGGGCTGTGGCCCTACATGGGCAAACCCATGTGGGGCCATCGTGGAACCCGCGGACAAACCCATATGGGACCCATATAGTCTGCCCTCCTTGTCCCCACATGGGTCCCACCTAGGCATGCTGGCTGGGCCATAGCTGCTTCACTATTTATTTATTTATTTATTTATTTAAAATGTATCAGTTGGTGTGCCCACCATTGACTTACAGTTATTTTTACTAAGGCAGATTTAAACTCACTGATAACTGTTAAACTGCTCCATATGTTTGCCTATCAACATTGGTTTATATAATACATTCTATAACGGTTCTCAGAGTTTTCCATGAGCAGAAAATCTGCCAAGCCTGGGTTGGTGGCAAGTAATGCCTGGTGACCCGCCAGGCTCATAATACCCTGGTTGAACCCTGGGTTCTGTAGTATTGGTTAAGAATTAATCTTATTTTCTTGTTCACTCTTAGATCATCTTCCTTCTCTACATCAACATTGTGCTCCAGTTGTCAATCAGATGGCTCAGAAGAAAGTCAAGCTGGACCCAGAGGCCTTCTCATGTACGATCTGTGCAGGTCTGCTGAAGGATCCGGCGACCATTCCCTGTGGACACAGCTACTGTCTGAGCTGTATAAATAACCACTGGGATGGAGAAGATCAGAAAGGGATTCACAGCTGCCCTCAGTGTGGGGAGACGTTCAAACCGAAGCCTGTGCCGACGAAAAACATTGTGTTAACGGAGCTGGTGGGGGATCTGAAGGACAACGGCTTCCAAGCTGCTCCAGCTGATCACTGCTATGCTGGACCTGAAGATGTGGCCTGTGATGTCTGTACTGGGAGGAAGATGAAAGCTGTCAAAACCTGTCTGGTTTGTTTAGTTTCTTACTGTCAGAATCACGTTAAACTTCACTACGAATCTCCTGCCTTTAAAAAACACAAGCTAGTGGAGCCCTGCAAGAACCTTGAGGAGAACATCTGCTCTCATCACGGCGAGGTGCTGAAACTT